TTTCTGGAAGTGTTATTTTGCTTTCTCCCCTTGCTTCCTTTTATTTTATTTTATTTTCTTAAATTTCTTTCTAAGCCTTGCATTATTCCCAACAGCTGCTCTTTTTAAATGAAAAGTTCCTTTTTCCAGTGGAATTAATGTATATGAGATAAAGATCGTGGGAAAAAAATCATTAACCCTTTGGATATTTGCTTTTTGTTGTGAGTCCCTGCAGCACTGGATCTCAGCCATGATTGGTGAGACCTACCTTGGAAAATAAGACTTGAAGAAAAATCGGAAGTTGATTGTGATCCCCGATGAAGAGTGGATAATAAATTTTAAGAAAGCTTGGAATAACTGCAGAATTCATCCATCTTTACTCACGCTGTATGAGTTACCAGCTCTGAGCTGTGCTACCGACTGATGTAGTGGTTTGTCGTGAGCGATGGAGGGGTTGCAGAACTAGGAGGAAAACCTGTTTCAGTCCTGAGATTTTAGTGACTGTACCAAAAAAAAAAGTGCTGGAAGATGTTGGGTAGTTCCTGAGGATATCCTGCTATTTTGACAACCAAACTTGGGAAATACGATGAAATAGTCATAACTGAGTATTTAAGAAGCACTTCAAAACTTCAAAAACAGTTTGCTATAGGATCAAAAGGGTGTTTTGAGCGGTCTGCTTAGGGTCTACTTTCTCTAGTGAATTGAGTGGTAGACTGCAAAGGATGCAAGTGTAACCAGACGTGTTGCTGATACTTTGCCCAGTAGTCTCCTCGCTTACAGTTGTCTTAACGAGTTACAGGGTTGTCTGAAGACGAGAAAAATAAATTAAGTAAAGACAAGTTCAAATTAGTGCAGTTGGCAATTGAATGCATGTACCCCAAATGAACAATAACACATTAACTGCAGAAAGGACCTGGGAGATGCAGTGAATCATAAAGCAATTGTGTATTAAGAATTGGATGCTGTTACAAGAAAGGCAGACCTCAGCCTACAGAAAAATGGCAAAGGTAACAATTCAGTCTCTATTGTCCCATGGAACCTTGCTTCAAATAGAGCATCCATCCTCTCTGTTTTTAATATTTTCATATTCCAAGCAGGCAGCTTGGGAAGATGAAGCTTCTGTTTGGGAAGCTTCACTTAAGAGGAATGGCTGGAAGATTTGCATATGCTAAACTTGGGGGGAAAAAAAACAAGCACCGCAGGTGCTGGGTATGATTTGATGGGGTGCTATCTTCTGCACATATTTCACAGTGTAGCAACATGTTTTGGCCAGGACAATGGGTAAGATGCAGGAGGAAGGGCAGGAAGAGGAGAGACAGCTGAACATCTGCTTTGGATAAAACTTTGAAGTGAATGGTGGATTTGAAGCACCCAGAAAGGTGTCAGTCAGCATCTCCCCTTGTCTGAGCCCAGGAACAGCAGAAAGCTGCCCAGGAGAACATGGTTTCTGGCTGTTGCCTTGCAGTTGTGCCCAGTGGCAGTGGGACAGGCTGCTATTTCTCAGAGTATAGGTTTCAGTTCATCGTGGTGGTGGTGGTGAGGGAAAATGAATGCTTCTGGATCTGGCCCAATAAATGTTAGAAAATGCTTTGTTAGCAGCACAGCAGCCCTTCCCGGATGGCAGGGAGAAGGCTGCTGGTGGCTGGGAACTGCGGCTGAGACTGGCTTCCTTCTTGGCAGAAGCCGAGCTGGTGTTGCCTTGGAGAGTGGCACAGAGGCAAATAAGCTGAGTGGCCTGGGGCTGGATGGCTGCTGGACATCTCTGCAGCCCTTGCATCTGAGTTTTGGCTTGCTTCTGGCTGCTGCCCTTTGGTTCTGCTGAGCCCCATCATCCAGACCAGATTTCCGACATGACAGCATTACACTGGGCTTTTGACTCTTGGTTCAGTTGACCACAAACTGGTCACCCTGTGCTGATGCAAGTTGCTGATTTCCTCCTCCATGAATGCTGAACCAAATACCCCTACAGCAGCTATCTGACGGTGTTCACAGCCGCTGTGAATGCTCTTGGGCCCTGCAAGCCAGGATGATTCAAGCTGATACTCATGCTTACAATTAAATGCTAAATGCTGAGTCTATTCTGCCCTACCAGCTGTACCCCCGAGGGAAAAAAAGGGGTTTTACTGCAAGAAGAAAGAGTTTTCTGGTTGATATTAAGAATGCATAGCAGCAAAGCTAAATCAGTGTGTGCTAGCTTTTAAAATAACAGGAGGATATTAAAGTGCCTTGAGAGGAAGATTACAGATAGGCAGAGCTACTGAGTATGCCTGCTCCTTTTTGTAGGCTGCAGAACCTTCCCATGTGATCCCACACTGAGTATGGCATCTGGGCATGGTGTCTCGGAGGAAGATATGAGTCTTGATACCAAGGTCTGGATTTCAGCTCTAACTCAGTCAGGGCTAAAATTTCCCTTGGAAAAAAAAGAAAAAAAAGAAGCTTGATTGTGACAAGTGGCACTGAATCTGACTTGTATTGATCTAACTAGTTCAAAAAACAATTTCAATTTGTTTTATAAAGTTGACAGAGAAGGTGAAGAAGTAAATAAGTGATTTGGCCTCTTCACGGCTAACAGGCTGGGACTTAGCTGGAAAGAAGTCAAATGCAACTGTAAACCCATGCTGCAGGGAGGTGAGCGGCTGGCAACCGTGCTGGACACGCTGACAGGAGTTCTGATGCTGCTTGTAAATAAAACCAAGAGGGGTTCTAGTGCAAAGCATGGAGCTAACAGCTCCCATGGGGCAGCGGTCTGTGTTGCAGCATGTGCAAGTTTTGTTGGATGTGGACTTGATCTAAGGAGGAAATACTTGTTTTGTTTTGATTTGATTTGCTTTCAGCAGAAGGCCTGAAGGCTTCCAGGCGGTTCCTCTACACCGTGTTGTATCAGTGCAAGTGTCCTCCAATTGAGTTTGCTGAGAGCTGAGCTTATGCCAGTGCTGAGCTGTAAAACTGCAGTCTCAGGTGCAACGTGAGAGGAGTAGCAGCAAGCTTCTTGTACCAAGAGAGATGCTGTGGCTCTGAGAGTCAACTCACTGCATGTTGCTCCCACTTGCCCAGTCTGGGGTCACTGTGTTGTTGGAGGTGGCATGGAGGAAAGCTGCTTGTATGGTGCCACAGTTATCTCATGCAATCACATTCTTGCTCAGCAACAAGCCTTGCTTTCATAGCAATGGCTTGGGTTGAAAGGGTCCTTAGAGACCACCCAGTTCCAACCCTCTGCTGTGGGTAGAGGTGCATGCCATTAGATCAGGTTGCCAAGTTCCCCATCCAACCTAATGCTTTGCTTCACTGGAGATACTCATGTAGGGATCTCATTTGGATGCGCCTCTGGAGGATGGGTTCCATATGCCCTCGGTGCACATCTGTGCTTGTTTTAATAACTTTATTGAGGTAGTCTAAGTGGCTGTAGCTTCCCAACTTTCTGGCTAAGCACGGCCCTTTTGCCAGCCTCTTGAATGTGTCTGGGTTAGCACTGCCTGTCCCAGACACTGTGTGTCGGGTGAGCACGGCAGGTCCTTGCCCTCCACATCTGCTGAAGGGCTAGTAAAGCTTCTGAGAACGTTCTGCCTGCAAGCCCCAGACTGACAGCAAACATGGTTAATTCATCATGTGAGCACTGGGAAAGCATGCATACAGGGAGCTCCTGCAGCAGGGAGCCTTGGAGTATCCTCAGAGGCAGGACTTCATAGTGTTGGCTCAGCCACCATCCCACTGGCCCAAATCTGGGAAAACTGGGGCCTCCCATCCACTTCAGCAGGCTCTGAGTTGGACCTTCATGAAGAAACTAGTGAAAGCTGTCTGTGTACTAGCACGCAAGTGTTTCTCAACCCCACGAGTCAGCTGTTGTGCTGCAGCTGTGTGCTACAGAGTGAGCAGTAGGGAAAGTGGGAGGTGTGAGGACAGTGTCTGATGCTGCAATATGGGAAAAGATGGGAAATTTTTTAACTGATAAAACATATTTTGTGAGTGTGAAATGGACTGGTTGTTGACTGAGCTGCGTGTTTTCCAGCCTCCATTGCTGGGTGCCAAGTAGGTTCCCATTATGTTGTTTGTTGCAATGTGCAGGATGACTCTCCATGTCTGCCTGGCACTTGATTTCATGGCATCCTGGTGTTTGAAAGCTGTCTCATCTGCTCTGAACCTGGGAGAGGGAGCAATAAGTGGTTGAAGGGGAGGAGAACTTATCTAGGGTATCAGCCTTCTCCCTTTGACATGCCGCATCTTGCCTCTACCTGTCTGCTGAACATCAATCCCAAATGCTGATCCAGAGGCACAACAAAGGCAGCAGGAGCAAAAGAGAGCCCCAGACCCCATCTTTAGGGAGGGACAGTGGATTTGATGCTACCCCTGGGGAGGTTGATGGCAAAGGGAGGAGGAGGGAATCTGTGCGCAAGACCCCAAGGAGGACCTTGAGGTTATCCACTGGGAGATAATCGGTGTCTTCTTTCTTCCCCCAGTGCACTTGTCCTGGAGCTCCTGGTGCTGCAGTGTACTTGCACTGGGAAGTGGGTAGCCTTTGCCAGCACCTGGCTTTTCCATGGCCGTCCTCATTTTTCCTCTTCGCCCTGCCCAGGTCCAGGGACTGTCAGTGCGGGAAGCATTGCCCATCACCTCCCTTCATTTTTTCCTCCCTCTCTTGGTGCCAAGTTGCTCTGATAGACTTTGGCTCATGTCCCAGAAACAGCCTCTGAACACACACAGACCGGGAAGGCTAAAATAACACTTTAAAATTGTTAAATAAATAGCAATCGGTCTCTGTTAAATGGGAAACACAGCTTAATTTGTTATATTTTTTTGTCCTCCCTTGGACAGGGAATTGGGGCGTGTGTGCATGTCTGTAGAGTGGTTCTTGTCGTAATCCTTCTGCTGCAGCCCCAAGTGGGCAGAGGAGGGTTATGCGACTCCGAGTTACCAAACACTTACAGTAAAAGTGTAGTCATCCTGAACCTCATCCAAAGAACCTTAGTTTTTTTGTTGGCTTTTTTGTTTTACTTTTTTTTTTTTTTTTTCCTCTCTCCTGCCAGGATGCTGCTGCGTCACTTGCATTCTTCACCCCTCCTGCCTTGTTGGGAAGGAGCAACCCTCCGAAGCCAGCGGTAACTCTTTCCAGGCTTCTCACAGCAGTGCTTGGGGCCCTTCTGTGCTGCTTTGCTCCATCCCAAAGCACTTTGGGACCACAGGGTCACCACCTAGGGTTTGCTCTGTAGCAGTGCTGGTATTCCCTGTGCCAGACTGCCTCCCGAAAAGCTCCTGTCTCTCCCTGACACGTTCTCAGATCTCGAGTAAAAATAGTGTAACGATTATTGTAGTGTGGGAGAGCAGAGAACGCTGCAGGAAGCATTTGGAAAATGTTTGTTGCAAATGGCTGCCAGCAGGGATTGAGCAGGAGCAGGGATTGACTTAGATACTCAAAGCTGTGTGTCAGTGTGAGAAAGTGCACGTCTCATCTTTTCTGGGTCTTTCTAGTGAGCACATCCCCCTGAGGCTCGGCTGCAGGTCCCAGGGATGCAGTGCGGGGCTGGATGAGTACAGGGGATATACCTGCACTCAATACATCCCAACCTGCTCTTCTCTCAGGCTTCTCTTCTTTTTATTTGTTTGTTTTTGGGGCTTTTTTTTTGTGTTGGGGAGGGGAGGGGGGGAGGCATATGAATTACCCCAACCAACCCAGTGTTTTGGATATTAGAAACTTGTCAGTGCGTTGGCCACATGGGAGGCAATTGTTTCTTGCTGGTTATCTGCATGGCAAAAAAAAAAGAAAAAATAATAACCCTTACTGTTGCCGCTCTCTACAGTGTCAAAATTGTCCGTTTCATTCCTCAACTTCCTGAAGTTGTTGGTGTGGGGTGAGCTGCAGGAGCTCTGAATCCCTGGTGAGAGCGGGGTAAAACTGCAGAAATGGCCTGAGCAGGAATAACCAACTTCAGAAGGGGAGGAAGTGAGTGTCTGACTACAACCTGCAAGCCTGTACTTCTGTATGGCAGCGATAGCCTGAGCATGGTTATCTTGAGCATCAGTGTTGCTACAGTGATGGAAACAGCTGATTCTTGATAAAAAGAGGAAGATTTGTTAGAAGACATCATGATATCTTTTAGATGCTTCAAATTTTGTCTTTTTTCCCCCATGATGTAAGTGCAGAGGTTGTTCCTCTTTGAATGGGTATTTTACATGAGCCTTCCTCTCAAATTAAGTAGGATCGTGTTTCTTCAGCATTTAGTGTGAATCTTGATGCCTGGTGGTGTGTTTCAGCCTTCCGAAGAGACATGCAAGAATAAAGCAAGATGATTCACTGCATACTAAAATGCTCTACATGTAAAATAATAATAATGATAAATAAATAGAAAAGTTGCTGTTTCAGCTTTGCAGTAAAACTATAAAACTCACCAGCCAGTAAACAGTGGATCTCCTGTTCCCATGGAGAAGAGCTGCTGCAGACCTAAAAGCTTGCTGTGGGAAAGAAAAGAAATATAAATCAAAAAGATCCACTCTTGGTCTTGCAAACAAAGGTTGCCTTGGATTGTGGTCACATGTTGCCGTTCAGCTGATCGAGCTCATGCCAAAAGGGGAAAGATTTCTAGTACTTGCTTGAACCCCACTGAACTGGTTTAGGGAATTAATTAGAGGAAAACTCTTCACCTTTGTTTTTTCCCTCACTGGTTTTCTCCTAGACCTGATGGCCCTGCGTGAACTCACCAGCCCAGCCACCCCTTCCGTGACTTGTGGCCACTGAGTGAACTTGACTGTGATTTAAATTGCACCTTCAGCAAAGGGGCTTTGGCTTCTCCCTGCTGAGGGAGAAGGAGCCTGCCAAATACCCAAATCTGAGCTTTGTAAATCCTACCCAGCAATTCTCGGTGGCCAAGTTGCTTCAAGGATATAAAGAGGAGGAACACCTGCGAGACCTTCTGGGGCTGAATTGCAACCCCTGTGTATATCAAAGGTGTTGATAAGCTGGTGTTGCTGGCAGCGCTCCTGGCCTGACCTAATGCTCTGTGTGCATATGTTCTATAAATAAAGATCAGGGCAGGCTTCTTCCCCTGAACACATCTTCTGTCCATGCCTATGGAGGTGGTCAGGAGACCTTCCTAAGGCTGGACATTGGAGGTTGTGTGAAAATTTCCAAAATTTTTGGCTCACATATTTGGTGTTAAGATACATACATATGTTGCATGCATCAGACAATAGTTTTGAGGACAAACTCAGTGCAGCAGACTTAGCTCTCATCCCAGGCAGTTTTCTCAGGCATCTAATCTTTACAAAGCTCATCAGATCACTGGTACCAGAGGGTGCTTTTCTTTGAGGGGTACTGTATCAGCAGAGTTGGGTATTGGATTGCTTTCCAGGATTTTCTTGCCTTCTCATGTCATGAGGCTTTTTTTGGTGAAGATTTCATCACACACTCATCCTGTTGTCTTCTGTAGCAGATGAGCCGTGGGTTCCTGGCTGGCACTTTCACCTACGGGTGAAAGTAGTAGGATAAGATAGTGCATCCAACCTGTTAGTTTGGAATACGATGGTGGTTATATCCCTCTTTTTTTTTTTTTTTTTTTTTAACCTTGCATTAGGGTGTGCTGAAGGAAGCAGGGATGAAAACCACTGTAGGTTGAAATTACCCAGCAAAGAGCCTGAATCAACTGCAGAAGATACTGAAAATCTTGGTTACAGTCCCATTTTTTATTTTTTCAGTATTATGTCATGTAGTGAGAAAGCATATCTGTTTCTTGGGTGAGGTGGAATTAAACAGTTGCCTCTTCCCAAGTTGTCTGTGCTTCCCTGTGGCACCGCACACTTTGTTTGTAGCATCCCGCATGGGAGATGAAAGGGTTTGATGTATACTGCCTTCGGGGCAGTGTGGATTTCTCCTCAAAAACGCAGATTCTAGTTTTAAATGCCTAAAAAATGAGACCTGTGCCTTATCTCTTGGGAGATCGTTGATGGATCCATTCCTCAAAAAGATATTTTATTCATTCAAACTATTCAGTTCTTTAATTCAGTGCCACTCCCTTCATTCGGATGCCTGGAGTCTTTTATCATGTCTCCTCTTACTCATTGCTTAGCCAAGTTAGACATACTTAGTTCTTTTAATCTTTCCTAGTAACTGAGTGTCTTTAATCATCGTGCTTGATGTCAGAGTGTTTGATGCCCACTTTTACTGAAAGTAAGCCTGGATTTTGTGTGTGTGCAAATCACTTGGGAAGTGATCCAGGAGAGCAGGAGTAGCTGAGCAGCTGCAGCTGGTTGCACAGGCTCACTCCTGGATTCCTCAAAAGCTCCCTCAAATATCCCACTGTGGGTGCTGAGGAAGATTCTTGGCTCACCTCGTATGCCAGCAGACTTGGCACGCTTGGGGTTTAATTAATGTTTTTGTTGGATGTGGGCAGCAGCTCCCCTGAAGACGCCTCATGGCTTGGCTTTCCAGAGGCACATTTCTCTGGACTTCCATGGAACTAACTGAAGATGCAGGTGTTGATTATGTTTGCAGAAAACAGGCCCAGAAAGGTTACTGAAACTTACATTTCCTTCTCTTACCCATCAGAAACAAGAGCAAGATAGATGCTTAATTTCCTTCTACAAAATCCATAGCAAAACCGAGGGATGGGTTGTTTTTTGGGAGCAGTGATTTTGCTACATGCTGTTAGTGCAGCTCATCTACTCTTGCTGCAGGTATTAATGTTGATTTTCCAGATGAGTTCATATATTTGCACCTGAAAATAATCATGCACAAATTCTTAAATCAGTGTGAATGTAGGGATTGTTGCTATCTGTTACTGAGCTATGCAATGTATCATCTCAGCATGGTGTCATCAGACTTGGCTTTCTAGAGTTAAACATCTGCTTTCCTTCTTTGACACAGAACTCCACAATTTACCCCATCTTATTTCAGTGGGAGCTGTCGGTATTTCTCTGTTTCAGAAATCCTGGCCTGATCCAAGCCCAGTGTCGACTCACATGGGTCAACGCAGCACATCTTCGGGTTTGCTGGCATCAGCACTAAGGCAGCTTGGAGTGGCACCTCTGAGTGAAAGAGGAGCATGGACTTTGAATCACAGAGTGTTTGGCAACAAATTAAAGAAGGCCAAAGACTCCCTGTCCCTCCCCCTCATCCTATTCTGCAAGAATGCTTCTCATACTTCCCAAACTTAGCGGTGCAAATGTCACTCGGTTAAGTACATTGCCTGACGATGCTATTCTGATGTTAATAAAGGTCCCATTCCCCCCCACTGTGATTCAAACTCCTTCTACCAAAGGGGCTGTGTGATATACAGCCACCCTTACAGGGGGTCCTGTGGCCTGGGAGAAGAAAGAAGAGCAAGCCCTGGTTTGGGGGAGAAAGCAGAGCTCCAGCACAGAGCAGCACCTGGTGCCTGCTGGATGTCCCTTGTCACCCTTGGGTGACCAGAGTGTAATGTGAGATGTCCCTAAGGCCTGGAGATGGCCACCAAGAAAAATGTGCGCCCTCTTGGTGATGCTTGTGCCCTCTTGGCAAACATCCCAGGAGCACCACATCATCTGGAGGAGCCAGCAGGCTCGTTTTGGTGCTCCATTGCTGATTCACTGCAGGTGTTCGCCATGAGATGGGCACAGCACTGTAGAACACCATCCCCACCCCAGGGGCACGTCACACCCTGCACGCAATTACATTCACCTCGCTGGAGGATTTTCACTCCCTACCTTTGATTGCAACCTTGGGGGCTGGAGTGATAGCTTTTATATATAATTGGTTTACTTTACAGCAGCATTTTGAAGAAGAGAGGAAATGAAGCTTTTTGGTTGGAGGGAAGGGACAAGGTTTGGCTTGCTGACATTTCTTTTGTTGCGATGTTGTATAGGTCTCGCTTGCCTGAAAAAAGGAAAAAGGAGGAGTGTGTGCAGGAGTTCAGGTCCTGCTGTGGCTTCTTGGGAAGTGAGGTGAGTTGGGAGAGCCTTCAGCGCTGCTAAGCTCAGACGTACAAACGCCTGGGCTTCCTTGCAGCCTTTGGGTGAGACCCCTTCTTCTGAACCTCCAGATTTTTTTGTTACGGGTTTCTTTGTGTTTTTACTCTTCCAGGCCGATGGGAGGATTTTAGGCTGCTGTTGCGATCAGGGTTGCAGAAGGCTGTAGGATCACACACAACTTATTTCTGACTGTGGCTTTGGCTGTATTTGAGATTCACAGCATGGGACTGCATTCCCCTACATTGTTAGTGTATGGTCTGCGTTTGTCTGGTTGAATTGTATGTGTGGTGTCTGCACCGTGTGCAGGAGGACTTGAGTCCAATATGTTTCTTGTGGCTTTGGATATTGAGAGCGTGGGCCTCTGCTAACCTACCAAGTGCCCTTGAGTTTTCTTCTCTTTTGAGAGGAGTATGGAGGCAGCCCATGTCTGTGAACTTGTCTGAGCCTGCCCTCTGTGCTCGTACACCCTGACAGGCAGCGTAAGCACGTTCCTGAGGGATAGGTATCATCACCTGCACTGCAGTCCAGCTGAGCCATCTCACACTAGCTGTGGCGGTCCTGGTAGGGACCAGCAAGATATCTGTTGTGCCAGTGTCCTGAACTCAGAGAAACGTCAAATATCCAGAGCTGGAAGGGACCCAAGAGAATTATCAAGTCCAACTCCTGGCTCCACACAGGACCACCTAAAATTCAAACCCTTTGTCTGAGAGCAATGTCCATGAACTCCGGCAGCTTGGGGCCATGACCAGCATCCTGGGCAGCCCGTTCCATGCCCACCGCCCTCTGGTGCAGACCCTGTCCCTGACCCCCACCCGCCCCTCCCCTGACGCAGCTCCATGCCGTTCCCTCGGGCCCTGTCGCTGTCACACAGAGCAGAGCTCAGCGCTGCCCTCCGCTCCCTGTGAGGAGCTGCAGCCGCCATCAGGCCTCCCCTCAGCTCCTCTGCTCTGGGCTGAGCACACCCAGGGACCTCAGCTGCTTCTCACATGTCTTGCCTTCCCTACCCTTCACTATCTCTGTAGCCCTCCTTTGGACGCTAAAAGTTTTGTGTCCTTACGCTGTGACACCCTGAACAGCACCAATGCTGGCACCTGTAGTGGGCTGGTAGTTCCGAAATACACAGTATCCTACTAACTCAGCAGTGGTCTGCAGATGTGAAAAGGTGAAAAAATGAGCCCTATGTGTCAGGGCTCTCTTGTTCAGCATTTCTTTTGAGATCTTTTGTGCACATCACTGCATCTCCCATGCACTGGAAATTCCCTCTAGATATCCATCTGCCTTTGCTGAGCTGTCTCCTCCCCTTCACTTCCTCACCATAAGCTTTTTTAGGACAGGAACTTTCTTTTCTGCTTGTATTTGCAGAATGCTCATCATGCACTGTCCAGTTCATATTGCAGTGTGACTAAATATGTTATAAAAACGATAATCTTTAGATAGACAAGCTTTTTTATCTGAACAGCTGTGACTCTAGAGGGCCTTTTGTATGCTTCTGTCTCCCTGATGCCCTACATGTGCTTTCAGAGATGCAACCCATTGCCTTGTGTTGAGAAGGGGACTGATGTTGATGGTACGTTTTCAAGATCCTCACTTGAGATCAAGAAAAATACATAATTTGCTGTATTATGTAACTGTTGTTCACTTGTAAGTTGTCAAATAGAGAGAATGAGAGAGTATCTGTATAGTGAAGGAAAAAGAATCACACTAAGATTGTATGGTTCACCCGCCTTGGCTGAGCTCTCGCCCCATCCAAATGGAGGCTGTGTACATCTTCTCCTTCCATCCGTACACCTTAGGAAGAAAAAGTGTTGCAGAGGTTTGGGTCAGTTGCTTGCTTCTGCCACTGGTCTCTTTGCTCACAAGCTGTGCCTCAGTTTTCCATCCAGAGAACAGGGATAAGTTGAGTCTTTGAGTTGTGACAATTACCTTAAGGAATAGGTCTGCAGCATTGGGTTCTAGTGGCGTGTTTAACTGGAGCTAGGTGCTTTTTGCAGTATCAGTGGCTCTCAATGAAAAGCCTCATTTTCACTTGGCTGCTCTCAGTCTGGCTGGCTTTTCTCAGATAAAGTTCATCCAGCATAACAGCTGGCTTCCCTTCTCCTTCCCTCCACTTTTGGAAGCCTGCTCTGGTCTGACACCTTCATCATCAGCAGAGTGTTGGGGATTGGGGCTTGGATATTTGGATCACTTGCCCTCTCCTTGTTGCAGGGTCACCAAACCCATGCCAAGCCACTACTCCTGTGCAAAGCTCTCTCCCTCTGTCTTCTTAGGTTTTGTTTGCTGGGGTTGGTGGAATGCAGGGATTTGAGGGCCTGTGGGTTCCTTAAGCACTTAAACAGGAGAATGCACTCATCACCTTGATAAAATGAGCAGCCTGCTTGAAGTGGTGGGGAGGGGAGGATTTTATAAGTCTCAGGGACACTGGCTAAACATTAGGAAGGACAGTTGTTATCATTGCAGAATCTGGTTGGAGGCCTGTAACTAGCAGTGTTCCCCAGGGGTTGGTGCTCAGACTGGTCAAGGGAAGTGATGTGTTCTGCCCTGGTGAGGCCACATTTAGAATACTGTGTCCAGTTCAGGGCTCCCCAGTTCAAAAACGACAGGGGTGTTCTAGAAGGAGTCTGAGGAAGGCCACAATGATAAATGGCATGGAGCATCTCATATATGAGAAAAGGCTGAGTAATCTGGATCTGTTCAGAGGACTGAGGGGGAATGTGATTAACGTTTATAACTATCTAAAGGGAGGTAGGAGGCAAATGGATGAGTCTAGGCTCTTCTTGGTGCGTAGCAGTAGGACAGGGAGCAGTTGCCTAAAACTTGAACATAGAAAGTTCCACACAAGCATGCAAAGGAACTTTTTGCTAAGTGTGATGGAGCACTGGAAGAGTTTGTCCAGAGAGATTGTGGAGTCACCTCCTATGGAAATATTCAAGACCTGCCTGGATGCCTACCTGTGTGACATTGTAGGGAACCTGCTTTAGCAGAGGAGTTGAATTTGATGATCTCTTGAGGTCCCTTCCAACCCCTGCAATTTTGTGAGTCTGTGACTGCATTGGGCTGAGTGGAGAAGATTTTTTATCTGTTTTCTGGGGGCTAAAAACAGGTGTTTGGTGGACTGGGAGTTGCCTTGAAGGCAGAGAAGAAGGATGCAAATGAACTGTGAGACATAATAGGAGCCATTGGAATGCCCTGTTCTGCCACTAAGTTTGCCTCCACTCTGAGCAATATGCATGGTGTAAGCTGATCATTCGGCAACCTCAAGAAAAGTGGGTGAGTCCTGTCTCAAGAGACCCTTTCAAACCTAAAGATCTTACAGAAGTGTAAAAAGGAACTGAGCCCAGAGGCCTAGTTGTTTACAGATAAACCAGGAGATGGGTCTTGCTCAACAGGGTGGGCTGTGTCTGCCTTCCTGGCTGGGAACTGGGTCCCTGAGGAGCCTGGGTGCTCAACCTTGGGTGTTTTCAGTAGTGAGCAACTGCTAACGATAACTCTCTGGCCCTGGATGAAGCTTTTTTCAGGTTTTGCAATAGTTGAGATAAGTCAATGCTGACCCTAGTGCACACAGCAGCTTAAAATCTTCTGTCAATGCAGTCTGTGGGCTCAGGGCCCAGTGGTGAGCTACCAAAGCTTACTGCCTGTTTGCTGTTGCAAAAACAGTGTAGCAATTAGCTTAAACGTACCTGCAGGAGATTTTAGGCTGTACTGTGCCTAATGCCTGAGGGAACTGGGGCTGTTTAGTCTGTAATAGAGGAGGCTGAGAGGAGAGGAGAGCTTGTCACTAGCTGTGATCTTGAAGGTCTTTTCCAGTCTAGATGTCCCTATGATTCTGTGTTTCACACTGCAACGGGACACAAAGGTAACCTGTTACTCTAGCCCAGCAAAGTGATAACCTGTCAAGGGATGGAATCCCACCAGTGTCCTCAACTTGGAATAATCTACTTCTCTGAAAGAGTGGTCAGGCAGTGGAATGGGCTGCCCCGGGAGGTGGTGGAGTTACCGACCCTGGAGGTGTTCAAGGAACGTTTGGATGTTGCGTTGAGGGATATGGTTTAGTGAGAACCATTGGTGGTAGGTGGATGGTTGGACTGGATGATCTTGTAGGTATTTTCCAACCTTGGTGTTTCTGTGATTCTGTGATAATAGTACAGCTGGAGACCTGGACAGCACAGTGATACTGAATGTGGTCAGGAGAGGAGCTAAGCAGTTCCCACACTGTCTTCCTTCTGCCCTGCCTACATTTTACTTCTAAGCTCTGTCCTCATGCCTTTAATGAAGTTGATGCTTATGCTGTGATTTTGGCACCTGTCTCTTGTAGCAAGCATTTTTGGCTACTCCCTTACTCATGGATGGCAGTTCTCCCTCCTTGCTCGCTCTTCCTGTTGTATTTTTATTGCATGGCAGTCAGCATTTGTGTGTGCTGTCTTGCAGAGTAATGCGCCCCACCTCAGCTCAGTGATGACTGTATTGTGCTGCAGTCTAATTTTTTGCTGTTAACAAGCATTTCCTCAGCATCCCTGTAGGCCAAGATGCTGCCTCTTCACCACAAAGGTTGGATGTTCATTGGCTCTGTGTGTTGGTGCTTCCTCTTTCTGATTTCATTTGATACGTACAGGATGTAATGATAAACATTTGGGCTTTCTCCTATTTCAGGCATTTTTGCTTCTCTTAAGTAACCCCATGGGATTACGAATGTTTGCGTGAATGCGAGATCAGATCCTGAGAAGGGAACAGCAGGTTACACAGCCCCACAACCACACGCTGCTTCATCCTTGCGCATGTGGGCAGCACCAAAACTTTGGATCAAAAGTTTTGAGGCCTTACATCCTCTCAGAATGCAGTTGCTGTAAATCTGGAAAAAATAAACAGTGACGTTGTTCCATCTTGTCTTCCTTCAGCTCACTGCATTTTCCTCTCCATGTTCAGCTGCTCTTCATCAGTGGCTCCCACCATCATTGGAGCCAGCATGCGGTGGTGCTCAGGAGGAGCACGCCCTTGAAGCAGAGCAGTCCATTCTGATTTGTGAACTGGGTTGTGTGTATGACCATCTGGGTCTCACATGTGGGGTCTGGCAGAGGTCTACAGGAATGACTGACATAGGTACTTCTTTTCTGACAGGTCAAGTGGGTGATTCATTAGTTAACACTAATTAGTTAAATATAGTTTTTAGTTAAATGTATGTTTTTTTCAAATATGCAAGATGAAGTACTGAAACGTATGCATATATTGTCTGCATTTATGATCAGAGCTAGCTGCTTTTTGCTTTTGTAGCATCACAGCAATGTCATGTTTATGTGTTTTATGACATTCTAACCATGTCTTCTGGCTGGACACGGCAGTTAAACATTATAATACAGCAGTCATAAACCTGAACCATCTGATGACCATACCTGTTAATTCCTTAATGTTGCTTGTATATAAAATGAGTTCAGTGATAACTCCTTGCTTTCTGGAAATGAGTAGGACATTTGGAGCTGCTGTGTGGTTACAGCAGTGGGCAGGTGACTATGTTAGGGATCACAGGCTGTGCTCGTTTTAGCTGTGGGCGAGATCTCAGAAAATGCCAGCATGCTAAGAGTTAATGCATACACTTAGGTTATCTCACTGATGAGTTTAAGTTTTGAAAGCAATTTTACTGCTGCACACCACCACAAACTTTTCTATATACGATGTTCCCTTCATGAAGCTTCAAACAGTGCTCACATCAGACTGAAATCAATATCTCCAGGAGAGATTAGGGCAATTTCACTTGAGGTTTTTGTTGTGGTTTCTTGCAGGAGGAATAAAGGAGGTAGGATAACCAAGGTCAGCACCTCACTTCAAGCTATCAGTTGGACTGCTTGTGGGCGAGAGATATTAAGTTACCATGTGTGTGTAATTTATCCATTGTGCCAGTGACCAAGTAATCCAGTAAAATGGCAGCAAAAAGGATAGGGAAGTTATGAAAATTTGTACTGTAAACTGAACTGGCAGGATTAAACTCAGAGCTGTGTTTGGTTATCAGGTGTCACATTGTCTTTAGAAAGTGCCTGAGAGGGATTTTACTCAAAGTTTTGCAATAGAAGTCTCAGTGCCCATAAATGGGGCAGAGCATGTCTTTTCAAACAGGGGTTTGTTGTTCCCTATCTGGGTGCTCTTCACAAGTTTTGGGCGTGCCAATTCTGATTATAGTTTGCATTTATTATTACTTAATGTAATTAATGTCATCATTTGAAACTGATTAATTATTGTTTAATATCAGTATCCTGTACTACAGCTTACTTCTACCTTGTATTTATTAGCCTCATCTTTATAGTAGTGTTGCTAAATGCTTCCTAGACCTGGGATGCATGTGTGCCTCCTTTGATATCCTTAGGCACGTTATCCAAGTGCAGGTTACAGGTGCTGACAACTGTCTGACCCATTTTTTTTTTTATTTGCAGCCTCTTTTTGCACCTTATCTTGGTTTTTGTGAAGTAATTGAGCTAAATACAGTATTATTTTAGTCTAGTTTATACTCATTTGACATTATTAACTTTCTTGCTTTATCTGGGTTAATGCTCAAGGATGGCATCCTGGCATTCTCTGCCAACATTGCTTTCTGTGTAGTTAATATGGAATTAACCTTAAAAGAATGGAAAACTATTTCCAATCTTCTGCTTATTTTTGCCATGTTTGGGCTGCTGATTTTAACAAAATCGCACTTCAGAAGAAGGCTGCTTTGACAACACACTGTACACTATATGATGCCAAGGAAATAATTTGCTGCAGAACCCTAATGCATGCAGCCCTTGTTTTGTTGTTTTGTTTTTTGTTTTTTTCTGGGATATCTGCTAATGACCTGCTGGCTGATTTTTCTCTTGTAAGATCCAGAGTGATCATCGTCTGTTGTGGTATGTGGGGCTCCAAGCCAAGAATACCCACTATTTTTGAAGCATGATCATTACTGTTCAAAATAGGCTTTTTTTTCCATGATCTTATAAGATTTTGCCCCTTCTATAATAAGCTAATTTTATCCTTGCTTTGGCATCTGTGTTATTTTGGTGTGTACTTTATATATATCATATATAGCTCTCTGCACACATGCATCACTGTATGTGATTTATACAAGCTTGTCTTGTCTGCAGTGTCAGAGGGAAATCGTTCTCACTTTTGTGATGGGGGTGTCAGGTCAGGCGTGTCGAGTCCATTGCCAGACCTTTCTGTGACCTGTCCCAGTTTGCTTCCCTTCATCCCTAAATGATACCATTGCTTCTCCCAGGCAAGAGAAGATGTGAACCATCCACCACTCTTGCTGTATGAAGGCAAGGAGTGCCTTTATGACCTGCTACTTCTACTTCTCTGTCAGCTGTTCCTGGAATGATGGCCTGTGTCACTGGAGACTGCTTCAGAAAGTTTGTGAGACAGACACTAAGTCTAGTGAATGGAAGAAAATATTTGTCACTGTCTTTGTCACTGCACCCATTGTCCTTATATCTAGAAAAAAAAGACTTAAGTTACACAGCCATCTTCTCTTCCTTCTTGTCCTCCACCCTCACATCTTTTTGAATGAGTAATTTTGAATGGATCTTCATCGAGATGGAATTTTGTCTTGCTTTGGGTAGTATACAACTAAGTAACTAAAATTTCCTTCTGAGATTATCTGGTAGGGATGGATTTGGATGGTGCTAGGGCCTTAATGCTCCAACTTAATAACAGGGGAAAAGGAATCCAACAGCACCGATGTGTTCTTGGGGCAGAAAAGGAACCAGATTTAACCCTAAGGTCAAGTCATGGAAGAGAAGTGATCCCTCATGGTCAACTCCAACCTGAAGGAGCCCAAGGAGCATGATGGCCATTTGACTGACCCATCTTTTGGTTCTGTTCAGAAGATGATGTTCCTTTTGCATGAACATTAATGACCTTTGTTTCATTGTCGTGTCTTTAAGGACTCAAGATGGTGTTTGCAGAGGAGAGAGAGACCTGGTCTGCCATGACCGTGTCAGTTTTATGTATTTGCATAATGTAAATGCCAGCCCAGCTGAATTGTGACAGGTGTATTTGTTATAGGCAAATAAAGGTTTTCAAGAAGCTGTGGAGTTTCTAGTTTGGTAATCTGAGAATGGGTACTTTAAAAGGTATGTTTTGTGGCATGACATGGAGGGTTAGTTCCTTCGAGACAGAAGAAAGATAAAAGGATAAAATTATTACAACCAAATTTGCCATGTACCCTGACTACCAGTTTTGAGGTTGTCGGCTGAGGGAAGTGTTATGCCTAAGCAGAGCATCAGAGTCTCATGCAAGGGCCTTAGTGTGTTCAATTTTACCTTGATTTTACATCAAGTTACTGTGTTGTGGTTTAACCTGGCAGGCAGCTCAGTTCCATGCAGCCATTTTCTCCTCTCCCTCCCGGTGTGATGGGGGAGAGAATCAGAAAAAAAAAACACTACAGCAACACAAAGTAGAGCTTCTGAGTTAAGATAAAACTATTTAATAAAACAGAAAAGGAAGTGGAAAAAAATAATAGTCAATAACAACAAAACAAGTGATACACAACACAATTAATTGCTCACCACCCACTGGCAGATGCTCAGCCAGTCCCTGAACAGCTGCTTTTCCCCCAGCCAACTCCCCACTGTTCTTCAGTTTTTTTTTGTTTTTTTTTTTTGCATGATGCCATATGGTATGGAATATCCCTTTGGCCAGTGTACCTCAGCTGTCCTGGTTCTGCCCCCACCCAGCTCCTTGTGCCCCCGCAGCCCTCCTCACTGGCACAACAGTACAAGAAACTAATAACTGGAACGTCCCTGGCTCTGTGCAGCACTGCTCAGCAACAACTAAAACACTATGAAGAAATGTCCCAGCAGAAACCAGGACATGCTGGACTGCAGAACGATGCGACTCTTACTTTGAGGAGCACCACAGCTTGCCAGGGGTTAATCAGATTAGTACCTTTGGTCCTCTTCCTCAGTACTGGGGCTGTTACTGTTGATTTCATCAAAACATTCTTTTCTGTAAAGAAAGGAGTCCTTACAGTTTGATAGAGGCCACAGAGGTGTCAAAACGTTGAGCCTGAGGTTTTTCACTTATTGTCACCTTTTTCAGTGAGAGCTCTGCTTAAGCTGAAAAGGTTTCAGCAGTGTGAAATTGCCGAAGGAAAGGAAACATTCAACATTTTCAGCTTCATAGTCACCCAAGCCATAGCTAGTTCTGGAAGGGTCGATGAGTGTATGGACATGAGTAAGCCTTCTGAGACTAGTGTGGGCTCTATCAGACCTAGCAGGGGTTTCCCAGGTCAGACCCAAAGCTCTCCACTCGAGATCTGAATGTCACTGCAGCTGCATCTACAGGAAGGCTTTGGCTAACACTGTACAGTAAAACATATCTATTGTTCCCTCAATAGACAAAGCTATAACAGGAAAAATGTCTTGTGTCAACCTGGCCTTTGAAATACAAATGAGTAAGAGCAACCTCACTTTTAAATGTCATCATGTGCTTTGTGCACTCACTTTGTAATTTGCTTTTCTGTGGTTACTGCATTTCAGGGCTTTTGCTTCAAATGATGTTTCAACAAAAGGGAAAAGAAAAGAAAAGGCATTTCTGGTGTCTCATGGGGAGTTCTGTGGGGTTGCACTGACTCTGCTTCTACTTTTAAGCATCAAGACAGGCATTTTGTTCCTATAAAGTACCTGCTGATGGTGGAAATACCGGCAGCCTTGTTTTCTTATTTTATGAAGTTTGAGAGAAAGGTGTATGAAGGAGCACTGTGCATCTCTGCTTAGCAAGCTTGGCTTTTCCTATATGCCCCAGGTCTGATTCAGAGTGCTTTGGGTCCTGTGGTTTGCAGTGATATAATGAAACTTCCTCTTGGTGAGGATAGCCATCCAGTGCTTGCAGCATGGCATGTGCCATCCAAGCACCCTGCTTGCCAAATCACCTTGTTCTTTTGTTCATTGCCTTCTGCATGGAACACCTTTGGGGTTTGCCTGAAGTCCTGCATCTGCTTGGTGGGCATCTATTCCTTCAAAGTGAATCTGAAAGTGTGTGCAGAACTGACTCTGGAATTGGGTATGTCCTTCTTCAGGGAAGCTGGTGGAACAAACTGTTATTTGGGGTTATACTGTGATGGGATGACTGGTTTTGGGTGCTTTTGGTCTGTTTGTGATTAAATCTGATGGTGACAATAAAAACAGAACAAGAAATAATGTGAAAAGTGAATAAAAGCCCCGGAAGGATATTTTGGGTTGCCAGAGGATCTTCATCCACGGAAAATTAATTGTTTTAAAGTAACTCAATGACTAGTTTGAGTCGGCTTTGCAGACTCCTGTCTGAGCAATGGACATTTCTGTGGAATTAATCAGAAGGAACTGCAGTTTCTTTTACCATGGGCAAAAATAGCCCTTAGACTGAGAACAACGTGTAATAGCAATGACTGTAGCTGTTGACTTAGCCAGAAATACACAGCCAGTAATAAATACAAAAATCATCAGGAAATATGGACCGCTGAATCTGTGCTGAAAATCACTCAGCTTTATTGCAGTGAATGGGTAAGGGGGTTGGAAAGAGCAGCAGGAGTTTTGGGGTGAGGTGCTGTGACTGGGGGTATACTGTGAGGTGGGATGGAATTGGGTGGGACAAGCCAGCATGGCACAGGATGGGATAGCAGGGGATGGCATGGTGTGGGATGGCATTGCATGGGACAGGGTAGGATGTCCATGTACATGCAGGGGAGTGGCAGATCCACAGTTCATAGGTCCTGGGATTCAGCAGTTTGCAGTGTTGAAGGCAATGCTTGGCCAGTCAGCGGTACTGCTCACACTGTTCTAATTTGACAAGGTGGATGATCTGTTTTGAAAACAAGAATGGGGGGAGTGGACATCTTTTCTCCACTTTGTTGATGCTGAAATACCATGTTGCAATATCCTGTGTTTTAGGATATTTAAATATACTTTACAACTTGATTTTGTATTTTTTCATGTTTGCCTGCCACTCAAAATGAGCTACATTTCAAGTAGCTGTTGAAACTCCCCAGGCTGCCCTGGAACTGCTACATCATCCTGGTAGCAGCCCCCGGGGCAGGAAGGAGATGCTCTCCACTTTCAGGTGGCCCAGAGAAGGGCATGTCCTACTCTCACTTTCTTGGCTCAGCTGGTGCAAACTATGTTCATGCCATGAGGGAGACTGAATTTATCTTGTCAGGTGTCTAGGAAGGGGTGATATGAGCAGCATCATATTCCCACTTTGTTTTAGCACCCCCAGCCTTGCAGACCTTGCATTTTGACACTTTCTGAATTGGTTGGTGATGTGCAGTGGGCTCTCAGCTCGTTCTCCAATTTTTCTGCCTTTCAGTGTAGATTTTCCCCTCTCTGCTTTAAGCACATCATTTAAAACCACAAACAGTCTGGTGATGTGGAGCAGGCTGCTGGTGCTCATCCCTGTGGCACTTAAGGCATAGAGAATGGTTTAAGTGAGAGGATTCTACAGAAATGGTCAAATTATAAAATGGCTTAGGTTGAAAGGAACATTAAAAATCATCTAGTTCCTGCCATAGGCGGGGCTGCCCCCCACCAGCTCAGGCTGCCCAGGGCCCCATCCATCCCGGCCTTGAACGCCTCCAGAGATGGGGCATCCACAGCTTTTTTGGGCCAACATCACTCTCTGTGTAAAGAATTTCTTCCTCACAGTGCCATTTCTGGGGTGAAGCCCCAGCCCTGCCAGTCACCACAGCCTCCTGCAAGGCGCCTGCACACAAAAAGCTGGATTTAGTGTGGCAAAACAAGGAGTTGTGAAGAGGCTCGGGGACAGCAAGTCTGTGCCAGCTCACAGTTTCGTGTAAGTTAAATAAATGTTGTCTTTTGAAGGAAGGTGTTGAAATGCTCCTGTGGCCTGTTAAAAACAGTGGTGCGTTGGGTGAAGAGCTGCCACCCCCTTTTTCCATTTCCTTCTCCATTTCTCTTTCCATTTCCTTTTCTGTTTCCATTAATAACTTTAAGTTTTTCTGCTTCATGCTTCTTTAACTTTTTTGTTCACTTACGACTTTCAAGGTGTGCTTTTACTGAGTTTAAATGCTTTGCCTTTGCTTTGTTGAAAATCACAACAGTCAGTTGAATGACTGCTGTTATCTCAGGTTTCCCCGGGTCTTCCCATGGGCTGCTTTTGATTTCAAAGGTACATTTGTTGAAAAAAGGAAGATTTCCACAAAAATGCCCATTGCACCTCTGACTTGTTCACACAGGGCTCCTGTTGAGCAGCTGTCCCATTTTACCGAGCAGCTGGAGTTAGAGGCTGATTAAAGGAGTGGGAAACCTCTTTTCATTTATTCCTGCTGCATGTATGTAACTATGGGTGTGCTCTGCTTTTGGGTGAGCTCTGCTTTTGGGTGAGCTCTGCAGGGAAGACGTGCTTAACGTGACTGAGCCTCTTCTTTTGTAACTTCAGAATTGATCCACATTTACCACTTGCTTCTTCTTTGAGAGCTTTTGGTAAAGGGGATTAGTTAAATCCACGTTTTTCTTTCAGTTAGTTTTGCTCTGGGATGGAGCTCATCGAATGCGGTCCTCCTGGGGACGAGGTGGGAGTGAGAGGGGTGCTGGGCATGTCACTTTGTCCTCATGCACCTCATAGTTCTCAGCACTGGGTGCTCCTCCTGCTCACCACTCCCCACCTTCGCTCCTTCCTCATGCTAAGATAGCTGCATTTCAGCTGAGACTGCACCTCTCTATACACTTTTTTTTTTAGCATGAATTTGCAAGGGAAGGTTGGTTGAGGTTGGATCCAAGGCTCTTCCCTGTTGTTATGTTGCAGGAGAGCAACTTGAGCTTTGTCAAAGCTGCTGGGAGTGAAAAGTGTTAGGTCTCAGTGGCTGCATTTGGTCCAGAAACAGAAAATGGGAGCAGACCTCAGTCTGATGAATCTGGCAGCCCATGAACTCCCCCGTTTACTTGCTTTCCTTGTATAATTATAGTAATGGAAGTCACTGTCACTGTCCAGCTGAAGAGGAGCTGCACGGTTTTGCTGAGCATTGCAGGCACTTCCTAATGCATCAGCACCGGTGAGACTCGTGGGCGCAGCCTTCACCCTGTCCCTACCGAGCAGGCTCCAGTCTGGCTGCTCCCATCTAATAGCTGGGAAATTAGGGCTGTGAGTGAGCAAGAGCTGCTTGCAGAGGGCTTCAGTGGTGAAGCAGAGGCTGAAATTCAAGCAAGGAGCCTATGGATGAAGTGCTGAGCACTTCGGAATGGCATGATGCTCTTCCATAACCTTGCAGAGTACTTGTGTAATTTTTCAGATAGATGAAGCAGTAAGCAAGCCAGCTGTGACTCCAACAAAACAATTTCCAATGGCATTAGTATTGAAGGAAAATAGAAAAATCAAACATTAAAGTGTATGGAGGTCTGCCTTAGGCAGTTCTCAGTGCCTACAGGGCAGGGAGCTGGGGAGAGGAGGAGTTAGGTGGGTTAAAGTCCAGAGAAGGATATTGAAATACATGAGCCATCCCTGGGAAAGGTGGATCTGCAAGCACTGGGTGAAAGAGCATGAGGAGGGGGTGGGTTAGGTGGGGGTGTGGATTCCAGGAAAGGGTTTATTTCTTAGATTGCAGATGCTTAATGCTATTAGCATCCAAATGGCTCCTGCTGGTCTTTGAAGTCAGCATCTCATTGAGAAGTAAAGAGCAAAAGAGGTGTGGGGAATAATGAATTTATTTCATTTCTGGCTGGTGAAAGTATTTCCTTGCAATGTTAAGTTAGCAAAGAGGCCATACATGGTTTATTTTGGGAGCACTGTTTCTTCAAAACATGAGGCATTTATCACTTCTATGATTCTATGACTTTGTACTTTGGCTGTTCTGGTTTTTTGTTTTGTTTTGCTGTTTTGTTATGGTTTTTTTTTGTGTTTGTGTCTTAATACTCAAACTTGCTTTATACAGAAGACAGCAGAAAGCCACAAAACTGGAGCCTCAGTAATTTCTTTACACCCACCATTTGCCAGTATTCTGGATTGGAAACCAACCACAGCAGCTACTGACAGTCTCATTCCTCATCCATGTGAACATCCTTCCAGGGAACTGTGATAATTCCCACTTCCATCTTCTTCGCAGACTGAGGTTTCATGACTATTAAAACCTGTTCCTGGAACCATGGGATGGCCCCACAGCATGCTTTTGATCCAGATCAGATGTGGGCTTCTCTGTGGGATGAGAGCCCAGCAAGTCCAGCCATCAAAACCAACCTAGACCCTATGGAGCTGCATGCTCTGACTCGTCCCTATGGAAATGTCCCCACACCCTGCCCCAGGGCTGTGCATTCCTGGGTGCTGGTTGCCTGTGTCTCATGAAGTCTTTCCAACCGAACTCATCACTTTGGCTTGGCTCTGCATCACCACACTGACACTGTGCAAGCTGCAAGCCACCAAACTGTACCTTTGAGCCACCTCATGGGGCACATGTCTCACAGTGGCTTGGCTGCTGGACCACGCAGGGTGGGATGCATGGTAGAGCACTGAGCTGGGAGAACAACATCCCTAATTCAGGTTGATGCGTGGCTGTGTTGGAGTCCTTTCTGCAAACTACTTCAAAGGGCATTTTGGTGTTTTCTCTCTTCATTCACTGTTCACAAGTGTTCTCCCACTTGTGCATTTTGTGCAATTTTAAAAACTTCTTGCATGTATTCCATTCCTCTTACCCTAGACTAAGTGGCTATCTTCTTTTCTTTCTGAGCTGGTTTGTTCATGCAGAGGCAGGGAGTAGCAAAACATATTTTTCCTTCTGAAAAGAGATAAAATAAATATGTTTGATACCTGAGAATAGTTTTTGCTGTTTGTCTGAGGCAGCTTGAAATCCTTAGGGAAAATCAGAATTGTTCCATTAGGACAAGCTGCTTGCAAGCATCCTGCCAAACTGGAACAGCCCTTCAAGCTGTACTGAAATGAATTCAAACCCTCTACAGATAAGCACAGCATAGGGTATAATTTTATTTCAACAGAAGGAAAAAGTCCAGTACATCATCTCCTTTTATTTCTGTGTGTGGTTGTCTTGTCATCCTTGTACATATAGAAGTATGCTTTCTTCACATGTATTTACTGAGGCACTCAAGCTAAATGCAGTTGAGCCTGGTGGTTGCTGGGATGGTTGATCGTGCATCTCCAGGTGCCATCTGTACACAGGGAAGCTGGCAGTGCAGCAAATGGCTATTTTCCCTTCTATAAGAAATGCATGTTGGGGTTGCTTTTTGATGATCGCTTAGGATCTGAAAGCTTTCGTGCTTTCACATTTATTTTTGTGTTGGCTAAATTTCAGTTCACTTAATTCCCTGTGAACAGTTTTTTTTTAGTTGAATGAACTATTCCTTGCAAACCATAGCAGTGATGTCATTGTTGTTGTGAGGGTTTGGGTTGGGTTGGGTCGAGTTGGGTTTTAAGCAGCTGTTGCCACCCAACGGTGGATTTCCCTTCATTATGTATCTTCCAAATACACCTTTTAACTGGTTTTCCACCATTCTCACCTCGTGGATTCCTAAATATTTTTATTTAGTTTTGTGGAAGTGTGAGTTCTTCTTGAGGAAATGGAAGCCTCCTGACAATAAGCTTGCCTTTCTTAGTTGTTTTCTATGAACTTGTCCGGTATGCTATGCAGATCTCTGTAAAGTTCCCAAAGCAATTAGCTTGAGAGCCACCATTCAAATGGGGCAGTGATGTATGCTTAAATGTGTTCTTTCTAGTAGTTATTGGTTATGTCTGCTAGGAAATTTCTGGATCCTAGCAGGTACACAGTGGTTTATAACCCTCCCATTCTCACGGAACTGTTGTGGAAGACAGAATCAAAGTCTGCTTGCCATTTGCCCAGAGCACACACCTCGTACATACAAGCTTGGGCAGAGCATTGTGTTGATGTGGCTCCATGGCTTTTGTCTTAAGCTGAATTGCGTCCAGTTGACCTTAATAAAGTGGAGCAAGCTGAGGTCTGCCCAAATTTGTCTAAGTAGACATATCCCACTAGGGTTCTGTGAAATTCCTGCTTCATCGGTTCATCTTAGTCCTAGACTTTGCCTTTGGCTGCACCTAGCACTGGACATATGGAACATGCATGGCTATAATCACAGTGATGCTGAAAATGCCTGCAATTTAAAAACATTGTGTTAATAAAACAGAGGGAGTTGTTTATGTCCAACTAAGCAGAATCCTGTTGTTTCTCAGAGAAAAGTGTTTTCATCTTTGGAGCAACTCTGGCCAAAAGCTCTTAAAGGACAGATGATTACAAGATGAAAAACACAGTATAGCCCAAGAAACACTTTTGTGTGTGTGTTTGCAAAATTTTTTGTTTTGAGCCATGAAAAATGCTTCCGTCTGAGTCTCTAGTGTGGGCCTGGGGGGAAAGCAAAGCAACTCCCTCTGCATGGGGCAGGTTGGCAGTGATGGGGTTGAGTCTCAGCAAGGAGCACTGGAAGTGGTATAAAAGCTCTCACTTTATTTCTAAGGTCTAATGCATTGTCTGTGGCTTTTGCCTGGCTTCTCTTGTTTCTGTGCAGGCTCAAACCAATTTCAAATAATGGATGAAAAACAAAGAAAAAAATTGATGC